TTAACACAGTTCTTGACTATAGGAGACGGCTGCCTGCCAGAATGCCTGTGGTCCTGTGGATTATCTGCTCTGCCACTTCATAGCTGGTTAGAAGAAAAATGGTTGTGAGGGTTTTTGACTAGTAGACAATCAACATCTTACTGGGTTTACAATGTACAGAAGTTATTTGCTCCCTTTTTAAGCACTTCACTTGATTTGGGAAGCTTCATAGAAGTTTTTGTAAAGTCTTACCTTATCAAAGGTAACAGAAATGACAGTTTTACTTCAGGCTTTTAAATTTGCTGGTTTTAGTTTAGGAAGCCAAGGGTTCATTGATGGCTTGATAAAGACCATTAAAGGTGCTGCTGTCATGTAATTTTTTTTTTCCATTTCTCTTCATGTTGACAGAATCAATATGAATTTTGTCTAATGACAGCTCACCAAGTACAGCTTGGTTACTAACCCCTGACATGTTCAGACAATTTGGTATATAATGCAAAAGTACACTGTGCTGCTTCTGGGACCCTAGGCAGGGATCCAAGCATCACTGCATGTGAAAAATTTGTAAGTGTCCACATGGGACTTCAGGTTATGGGGTGTTTTAATGCAACAAAGTGCCATGGCAATACACGTTCCCCGGTATAGTAGCCAGGTACTTGCTTTAATGGACGAAGTTCAGAAGAACTTGTCTGAAAATGCTGGGTGGGTGTTTGGACTTGCTGATGTGTATTAGTACTACAGAGAGATGGGTTGTGTCATGGTTACTGGTTGAGTTACCCACTGATAATGAAAGTTAGTTTATATCACTGATATTCACTGCAAAAAAGAAATATGAATGCAGGACATCTGTTCTATTCCCCTTTTAAATTATGAAAACTTTTGGAGTGATGTGTGTGTCTGTGGCAAATTCCAGATACTTATATGAGCGAATTGATGGGCGAGTACGAGGGAATCTCAGACAAGCTGCAATTGAAAAACCAGATTCGGATCGCTTTGTCTTCCTTCTCTGCACCAGAGCTGGTGGTTTGGGCATTAATTTGACTGCAGCAGATACGTGTATAATCTTTGATTCTGACTGGAATCCTCAGAATGATCTGCAGGTAACTTCCTTTGAGCATAACAGTGAGGCCTAAGAGGTCAAACCTGGTTGATACAAATTTGTTCACTATGAATATTGTCTCTGTTTAGAACATGTATCATTTTAAAATGCTCAGCTTTCTTTTTAAAGCTTGTGTTTAATGTTTTTTGATGAATACTTGGATAGGACAGGTCATTTGGGTTTGGCAGGGTTCTGTTGATTACTCTTTAAATGCACGACAGGTGAGTTAAGTGAGTTTATAAAACTCCTCTAAGATTTTGATGACATTATGAAACTGGGAGTTAGATTTTGCATATGCTGACTAACACAGTTCATGGAAATAGAGCTGTTCAGCTAAAACATAGTATGTAGAAAAGGATTAACAGTAAATTAGTCACATCTAGGAGCTGGATGCTGAAATCAAATCCATTTTCAAGACTCAACTCCTTTACCATTTGTATTTGGAAATCACATAGCTTACAAGCTAGCATGCCTTTAGTGTTACTGGAAGAGAAATACTATTCAGTAGCATTCAGCACAGATCATTCATTTTAGTTACTGCACTGTTGTTAGAGAACTGTACAAAATGTGGAAAATGTCTGATAACTTCCATTTAAGTAAATGTGTATTAATTTCCTTTTGTATTCATACTGTTGGTTTTCAGATTGCCCTACAGCAGAAAAAAATTCTTAAAAGATTTGTGTCTTCTTCCTAGAGAGATCTAAATTCTTATTGCTGTTGTCCTTTCCTTCAAAAGGCTCAAGCCCGTTGTCACAGGATTGGTCAGAACAAAGCAGTGAAGGTTTACAGGCTGATAACACGTAACTCCTACGAGAGAGAGATGTTTGACAGAGCAAGTCTGAAACTGGGGCTGGATAAGGCTGTCTTACAGAGTATGAGTGGAAGAGAAAACAGCGTTGGTGGTGTATGTAGACTTATTTTATTGAAAGAACTTTCCTTTTGCTTTTGAAATAATGTGGGAACTATTTTAAATTACAGAAGTGCCATTTTTCTGTT